TCACTGACAAGTCAAATCCATCAAGTGACGCCAGGAGGTGAATTGTGTTTAAATGCATGTTAGTGTGTTTCCTGGTGTAGTTTACAATCGTGCCTGTGGGCTACTACACCTGACATTGGCTAATTGGCTATCGAGAGAGGCTCTGAGATTAACAGGACTATGAGTTTCCCACCACTGCATGCTTCCCATGGTCAGATGTGAAGACAACTGGTAAATAAATGGATCATAATGTTGCCTTTGAAATGTTCCTGAAAGAACACATTTTAAGGTAAATGTTGGAAAACCACGTTACAAGATAAAGTAACATCTGGACACATTGTCAGCCCACACACACACACACACACACACACACACACACACTGAAGTAGACGCGCCATTGTTCTTTTTGTGCGCTTGCTGAATAGCCTACAGGATGGAGCTTGAAAGTTGCATGGCCAACCTATTGACGAGCACGTCTTTGTAAAAACACACACAGGGAAAAGGCCTTGTCCTCAACACCCCCCCTTCTCTCTCTCACACACACACACACACACACACACACACACACACACACACACACATTTTTAATTTGCCTCAAATATTGGTCTGTCTCCTCATCTCTTGCTGTGCTTTCATGTGAGACGGATCCCTCCAACATTTTCCACTGCAGGATTAGCTGTGTAGCGCGACAGGCTTGCTCCGCCTCAGTGCTCTTAAAGGTCTGACCCCCAAATGAATGTGTGAAGAGGTGGCCCGCTGGACACTCCTTAAAAGGCTATTAGCTTCTTACTGCTTGATATGAAAAGGCGAAAAAAAAAAAAAAAAAAGGTTGTCTCTGGAAAATAATGAAACAAACTTGTTGGCATAATAATATTAAAGAGAACATGTTGCTCGTGTCTCGGCCCTGATAGAACCCTCTTCTCTGAAAGCTCCACGGCTGTTGATGGAGATTATCTTTTCATTTAGCTTCCTGCCTGCAGGACCTCACAGTCATATTAACACTGAGTACCCTCTCTGCAGAAAATTCAGGCTAGAGTTTCATTTGTGTTAGCAGGTCTCTGCATGTGTGAGTATGTGTGCCCACAATGTGTTTGTGCCAAATCTGTATGCTGATCCCTCCAATCATTTGGAACGCTGTGTGTCCATGGTGTATCGCATAGCAGAGCCAAGCCCGGTTACCATGCCTACACTTTTTACTTAGCGACACTGCATTTTATCTTAATGAATTCATTTTCAAGCTCATGTTTGTCCCTGTATTCTCTGTCAGCTGTGTACACACTCTAAATGGCTGCAGTGCTGAGGACTTTTCCATTGCTGAAAGTGACCTGGGGGGAATAGGTTATTGATTCTTGCGGTAAAAATGATTAAACTGAGGTCTAAGTGGACACTTCATCAGAACTCGTCAACAGAGAGGAAGATAAAAAACAAAGGGAACCGCTTTGCTTTTGTTCAGGTCCATTATTTTCATTATTTTAACGAGTGAATAACCATGCTTGTGATTATGCTGAACAAGGATATCTGAATAGGTATTACCCTGCTGCTTAAACCATGAGCACTTTCCAACCAAATCTCCCTACGGGTACAAATGAAGTAACCTGAACCTGAACCTGATTCGGAAAAAACAACAAACATCAACTTAAGAGTTGGGCTGTGTTCTAAGTCATAATTATCTTTTACTGTACTTTTGAAATCTTGTAACATTACAACATATTCAAAGATAATAACCAACACGAAATGTGTCAGCACCTTTATTGACATGCGCAACAAATGAATAAAGTTCTTCAATCGAGATTATTTTTCATAAGGAGTTGTGCAGCCTAGTGAGGTTACTGAGCATTCGCACTATTGTGGCTGATTGTGAAAGTGGTGTGCTGTGCTGCTTATACTCGCAGTCATTTGCAGCCAGGGACAGAACAGACGTTGTTGTGCACATTGTGTTCAGTAGGTGTGCTAATCAGGAGTAGAGATCCCCTGAACACTGCCATGATCACTGAGCGCGCCATCTGTGTAGCTCTGATGACCGGCACTTTTGGCTGAGAGTGCTGGATGACTGTCTGGTACAGTCTCTCTCCTCTGCTCTCCTGCAGTCAGCTCTGCCTTGACGCTGTTGATTCTTCTGTTTTGTTTGTCCTGAAAGATCTGGAACTTCCAAACCCTGGCTTGCAGACCTGTCTTAAGCGACACTTCAGCGCAATAAATACTTTCAGTACATCAGATTAAACACAAAACGTGTGCAGCCCCCCCCCCCACACACACTTTGCTGTTAATCTATTGTTTGATCTGTTTCTCTGTAGTATGCAGCGCTGAATAAATCAGCTGTCAGTGCAGATCTGGAAATAATTGAAGAGGCTGTTAAAGTGCCACAGATAATGGAGAAATGCACATGTGGGCTGGAATTCTGTCTGTTTTTCATTTGCAGTCACAGATCATAAACAGGACCAGTCACAGCTCTGGCAACATCACACAGGTTCTCGCTGAGTTCAAATAGAGTTTGTAATGAAATTCTCAAACTGTGTCTGTGAAAGAAATGTATTCGCAATCTTGGAAGAATGCTTCAGAAAAAAAAAGCTCTCCACAATGCATCAACCCAGGACAACTTTTCATCAATGCCTAAGTGATCAGTATGAAGATAGAGGCACCTGTTACCATGGTAACTTATAAGAAAAAAAAAACCATCCGGAGATATGCAGTGGTTTTCATATTGATTCAGAGCTCAGAAAACAGAGAAAATGGTATCAGCCAAAAGCAGGTTGACTGTGTCTATCAGCAAGTGCCAGGTTAGAGGCTTATTGACCGTTTTTTGACAGACTGAGTAACGGACGACTTTTTTTTTTGTTGTTGTGTAAAACGGGCCGTGTGCCCAAAGTTCAATTAAATACCCCACGCTGTGTGGAGCCAGCATATTTGCCAAAAGATGGAAGACGTGTAAATCAGTCATTTATGTCTACTCATCAATCTGTTTGTCCTTCAGGGATGTTTATGGCTCTGCCTTAACTCATTTTTTAAATTCTCTTTTTCAGTATGAACATTTTTTTTTTTTTTAAATCTTGACAAGTTAAAGAAGATTTATGAGTGTGGAGTTGGCACCTGCTTTCAAAACACATCGAATGTTTTTTTTTTTTTTGTGCGGGGTTGAAGTGAGAAACTACTTGCAATTTAGTTTTCTCTGCCTAACTGCTCCCAGTGTGGTGGTGGTGGTGGTGGTGGTGGTGGGAGGGTTACACAGCATTAGTTTTCAAGAGGCTTGGCATTGTTTGTGCAAAAGGGAGGGGCAGCAGGTCATTATTCTTGTTTCGCTTACATGATACGATCATGGAGCTACATCTTGCAACGGTCTGATAACATTTAGTCATTCTGCATTAGGAAGATAAGAGGTTTGTCATAAATACGATACATGAACATATTCTGTGATCACACTCTGGACTAGCTCAATTTAAATTACATATCCTAATGGATTTCACCCAAGTGTGTATGCTCCGAACACGATCAGAATGGGGAAATGTGACAAATGACACATCTGGTTCCTGTGAATCAAAGTGACAGCAGAATATAAGCAAGTTGATGCAAGTTGATGAGTTGCAGGATCTGCTTGCTCTTTCTCTCTGTGATCCTTTGATTGGTTTAAAGTGTGAATAAATGTTTGCCTTTTTTTTTTTTTGCCTCTGTAAGTCATGTCTAAATCAGTGATTCAACCGGACTGGAAGTGTGAATGAGTGGGAGTAGCTGGGATAAAGGGGAAGAGGCTTTCCCGGGGCAGTGCCCAGGACAATGTCAGGTTTGTCTGGCCTGAGTGCACGAACACTAAGCTGTTCGGAACTGGCAGCCCGCCCCGGTACCTACCCATCTCCCCGGACTTCCAGAGCTGTCCAGCCCCGGAGCACTAAGCATTTGTGCAAAGTTCATAAGGCTTCCCTCTGTTTGTGTGGCCCATAATGGCAGCTCCATCCTGTTGTAGCTCAAAGAGTGCTTATGGGCTCTAAGGGCCTTGAGCTGGCACTGCAGAGGCGTTTGAGTGTTCTCAGTTACTGACTTTGGCTGACTGCTCTCATCATGAAAAGATCAGTGTGCCCCCCCACCCCCCCCCCCAGTCCTGAAGCCTGAGACGCTCAGTCTTCAGTATCTGCATTTCCTTCATCTTTTTCTCCACTTGTAAAGTCGATCCGTTTACGTCATTCAGTTCAGTTTCTGAAATAGAGATCATAAAAGCTGCACTTTATGGGAAAAGTTTAAGTTCTTAAAGTATTATTTGTTGCTCATTTCATTTCTATTTTTCTAGGTGAAATAAATACATAAATTGACCATTGGAAGCTATTTCATGGCCAAATTTAGCTGTTAAGTACAAAAGGTACAAAAACCTTCCCTCCACTAGTTCCCAGCTGTCAGCAGTTGTGAGGCCCAAGTGATAATAACCTCATTTGTGCAAGTTCCCTCCAAGCAACCATGCTTTAGGTTGGCCGTTCACTGCCGTTACCATCCCGTCAGCATAATTCAAGCATGACACTCCTCCTCCCCCCCTTTTCATTTTCTGCCTCTTTCCCTTTTTAAAACCCAAGTCTCAACCGAGGGTCCACACCATACATCATCCAGACTGGGGTTTGCTTCCTCCCTTCCCCCTCGTGTTGTGTAAGAGAGACTGCAGGTTTTTTTTTTTTACGTTGGGCTGATGTAAGGCTCTTATCGATAGCCTCAGCACTCTCTGTGCTCTGACCTGTATCCTGATGAGTCAACTAGCTTTCACCCAACTCCATCCTTGTAGTCATTAAGTAAAGGTCCTGACCAACAGTGTTAAACAATAAATACAAATTCATATTAGAAAATTTGCAGAAATGTATCTTTTTACATAAACTGATATTGTCGGGGGGGAAAAGGAGCATGCTTGAAAGCTAAGGCAATGAAAGAGGTTCTGACAGTAGAAGAAGAGGGGCAAATATTAACAGACTTCCACTCGGCAGGTGATCTGTGCTGCCGCCCTAGTTTGCTGTTCATATTTTTTTTTTTTACTCCAATTGATCACTGCAAATGAACACTCTTCATTGAGCCTTCAGCATTCCTCCACTCTCCTTTGTACACAGCCGGTGAATAGCCTCTAGATCGGGCTTTGTTGGAATGATTGTCAGTGGCTTAATGAGCGTCTTTGCCAAGCTAGAGGCTTTGGCAACATATGTGACTACAGTGCCTCTGTTCCTCGCCGTCTCAAGCCTGTGTACGCCACAACACAGAGCGTGCACAGATCTGTCCACTTTTCTGCTGATCTGACCAAACTCGGGCTTTCATTTCTCTCGTGGATTTTATTACCTGGAATGGAATAGTTCCTCCTCTCATGGGCACCAGAGCTGAGAATGAAGAACATTCTTGTAAGTATGCTTTAGTATCTAGGGCTGTGTATATAGAGCTGCTGCAGCAGATTTGGGTACAGAATCTTCAATCAGTCTCTCAATAAGCAGGAGACATTCAGAGGATTTTATACAAATCAGTGGCTCCAGATTCACAGTTTGAAATGAGTTGGACTGCCACAAACATTCTAGGTTGTTTTCTTGTATTTAAAAAAAATAATCTATATAATTAACTAGTGCAAAGAGGGAGCCTTTTAGGATCAAATTTCAATATTTTCTACAACATTACTCTTGTTTCTTTCTTTTGAATTTTACCCCAACAAAAAAATAGAGATCCTTTCAAATGTGTATCTATGACCACAGTCTAGAACATGTTTTTGTTTTATTGTGATTAGTATTATCATAACAAGTTTTAATGGTGAACAACCAAAAAAAGTTTGTAACAATTGAAATGCTTGCTGTTTAAGATGACCGTGCTTTCTGGTGTGAATGTGAAAAACTTGCAATCTAGAATATTCAGAATGTGTTATTGGAGATTTATGATAATCAAACAGTAACATTTTTAAGACATAACTTTAAAAAGCCTTAAACTTCATACAGCTGGAGCTGTATTGTTATTTACAACATAATCAACAGACAATGTGTGAAGGGTGTGTTAGGATCATTTCTGTAACATTCACTTACAAAATACAGACTGTATCTCTGTCATACAGTTCTGATTGTCGCTCGAGCACATTTTCATCAAACTGGAATACAACTGTGATAACTGTGACCGACAAGTGCATCACTAGGGCTGTACAAGATAAAGGAGCAAGCAAAGTATTTGTTTTCACAATACCCCCACATCATTACATTACAGATATTAAAAATGTCCTTTTTATATCCCTTAAATTCCTGTAATCACAAGGACCAGTTACAGATACAGATACAGATACAGACCAGGGTAGATACAGACACTACCACACACTTCAACTGGACTTCAACTTGAACTTGCACTTAAAATGAAGTATTGCAAAAGTATGGAACTGTATCTTAAATGAATATTGATTCTCTATTGATTCTTTAAAATATGATGGTTTATAAAAAGTTAATCGTTCAGTTATGAGATGTTGATCATCTGGAATGAATCTTAATATGTTATTGGTTTAGTCCTGGATGCAATCTTTGTCAAAGACATGTTGTGATATAATGTGGACATCAGTTATCAGCTTGTTTTTGAGGGAAAACACTCAGGAACAGATAAACCACCAGTGCTGCATCTTCCTTCCCCTCCCAGCTGTTGTTTGGTAACTTTGTTTAAATATATGAAACATATGAATGGGGGAAGAAAGAATTAAAGAAACACCAGCTGTATAATGCAAAACAATAAAACACCAATTGCTGCAAAATGATCAGCTGCAGTTGAAGGAAGTGAAACCATTCCTGCCTACATGGAGAGAGGATTTAATCCTGGATATTTTTCTAATAAAACATTTGTTTTTGCTTACTGTAGCTAATAGCCTGATAACAGATTGTACTTGTTTCAAACCAAACTCACTGACACTTGATTCTAAAAGTAACTTCCCAAAAGTAATCTTAGAACTGAGTATCACATCTCCTAAGATTAAGTGTTAAGCGTTGAGTCAATAGTGGATTCAGTGATTTGCAGTGTTGAATGTTTTTCTGTCTTGCAGTAATTTACAATTCTTCCATCTTCTTCTGTCATCCAAGGCTATTACCATCACATTTGTCTCAGCACAACCTCAGCTTGACCCTGAGTGATGGAGAGGAACAGGAACTAGGCCATATATCCAACAGCTGTGTCAAACAACTTACCCAGGGTAACATTGTCCAGGTGCTGGGCTCGAGCGCAGGGCGGGGAATACTAATTTACAGTCAGAACGGAGAACCTCTCATTTCACAGGCTGAAATTATAATTTAGATTGCTTGTATATTGGACACCTGAAGGGATTAAAAGAAAAGATAAAGAAGCAAATGTATTTCTTTCAAAAAAAAAAAAAAAACTGTTTTTGCTACTACTCTGTGTCTTCTGTGCTGACATCAGACATTCCTGGTACATGGCAGAAATAAATTGCTTCAGGGTCTGATGGAAGTGAGGATTTGGGATATAAGAGCCATCGATCATGTCGAGCTGTGGCACACTTTTCGTCTGGGGAAATTGCCAGCATCAGTCAAACAAAGTGAACCAATGTGGAGAGGAGTAGATCTGACAAAATATTATTCCAGTCGCCGCAGTCCAACTTGTGAATTCATCTCTCTGCCAGCTACTCGGCGAGGATCACACACTAATGTGATTATTGTCCTGGGTGAGGGCCACTCCTGTGGGACTTCAAAGAGAACAGATCAGAGGGAATATGAAAAAAGCTGTAAGCTGGGATGCAGACAGGTGCAGTGCACTTTTGGAAACCTTTTCTTTCGCTTTAAACATATATGTGAGAAGGTTCAAAGTGAGGACTGACAGCTGCTGCTAGCTCGTTTTTAGCCAACATAACATACACTCTGCATTATTTATTCTCATGTCATGAAGTGACTCCTGTAAAGTGTTTTATTGCAGGACAGAATGATTCTTGATTGTATTTAATCCTTATGTCCTGAATTAAAGATGCCGTATATGGAAGAGGCTTTGCAGTAGACACAAAGACCGCAGTAAAAATAGTAAAGACAAAAACTATCTTTGACGTTAAGTTTGCCAAATTTATGAATTTCATTTGAACAGCATTCCGTTATGTCATGATCAGTGCATAATGTACATTAATCATCAGCTTTAAAAAAAGAACGATACAAAATGTGTCATGACTCCTCAGATTTCATTTATTCCCCCCCAAAAAAAGTTCAAGTGACAAAAATGATAAGCACAACCCGGGGGCACAAGTGCGGTCTAAGTGAAGATGAAAATGTTACCTTAGAGTTTTCAATGCTGTCTGACGCAGAACTGAGCAAGAACTTCCTGTTTTACAAAGACAAATGTTGTCAGACACACAAAAGAACAGCGAATGAAAGGCTCCGACAAATGCATTGTTCTGACGAGATAAAAACCCCCTCCAGTGATAGAAAACATGTTTTCTAATGTCGCCTCTACCTTTTCCAAGTCGCCCGACCCCAGCAGGGACACGATGATCACCCTACAGCTCTGAATATTATTGCACGGCCTGCAGGGTCACTGCAGGTTATGTCTGCGGCTTCTCCCATGTGAGGAGAGGTCCTGGCGGGGTCACGAGGGTCGTCTTTTATTAGTTCACAGCACACAGTTCATCAGCTCAGCCGCTATATCTCTCTCTGACCGAGCCTCATTCCTTCACACCTGAGAGCCTCTCCTTATTCCTTCCCCCCCCTCAGCCCCCTCCACTCACTTTCCTCTCCTCTGCCCATCTCCAGTCTCCAGTCCCCTCATCCTGCTAAAGCTGCAGACCCCTGAAATATTGATGGTGTTATAATTAAACTGTCATGCTTTTTGAGCTGCTGTAAAAATCAAGCCAAGTCTCAATTAGACAAGCAAATTATCTTTTATCGCACCCTCTTGCTAATCTCATTAAGCATCTTGTTTCCTTTTATCTCATGCTATCAATTTTTCAATACTAAATTAATTGCGTGTAGTGGAATACGGATATACGCGAATCATTGCCAAAGTTGCCAAAAAAAAAAAAAAAAAAAAAAAGTCGACATGAAATTTTGAAGAGGAACATCTTACAAAAAAAGACCAATTATACAAACTTTGTTTTGTCACTAAGATTGGGAGAGTTTGTTTATTTTGCCATCTACCCCCGTAAATTGGACCAAATAAAACAGAAGAACAAAGGCTGAATGAAAATAAAGTGGACTCATTACACACATCAGAAGCAAAGCGAGTGAATTGCAGCTTAGTGTTAATCAGCTCGTCCGCTGGTTTAATTGCTCTTGAATGATCAAATGGGAATCAGTGTGTAGGCATTATCAGGGGCTGTGAGAGGGGAGTGTGGAGCTGCTGTCTTCCCATCTCAGGTCTTTAGCATAGAGAATATTTTAATCCAGCCTGACAAGACGAGGATCTGCTTAATCCTATTACAGGCTTGCACATTAAACTACAGTAGGCCCACACTTCTCCGCCTGTTTTTTTTCTTTAAGTGAGAAGGGAGCAGATGGTGCCAGCTCGAGAACTGTCCTGAACTGCAATGGTTGTGCTTTGACCCCCTCCTCTTTACTGAACAACACGTCAAGAAGTGTGGAAAATGCTCCAGGAAGCAACTCGTTCCTTTTTCTTTTAATTGGTGAAATCATTCAATCTTTCATTTACTCTAAAAAAAAAAAAAACCTTAACTTAATTATGCACTACTCGGGGGGGGGGGGGGGGGGGGGCACAGGTTGTCTGGTGAGATGGCTTCCAGCCAAGCTAGCACTGCTGTCCTCATAGTAGATGCTATGTTGCCCATTTGTTGCCCCTTTCCTTCTCTTTTCAGGATTATGCCCCTGAGCTCTGCTCTCTTTTTAAAGAGGCCAAGACAGTTTTTTTTCAACAGCAGTTGAAAACAGTGCTATTCATTCGGTGCTCATTTAGCGTTTACTTCATGTGCAAACAAAAAACAACAACCCGACTGTGTTGCTTTTTTTTGCTGCTAAAGTTCTCCGAATTGTGATCACCCGTCAAGATTTTGACACCCAGTCCTCGTCATAGATATATATTTCTTTCACCATGTTGTCTCATGAATCCTGAAGGAAGTCTCGAGCACTGTTCTGTCCATTAGCAAAAACGTTTTGCGAAAAAAATACACACATGCGTTGTAATGCAACCTGACTTCTGTTTCTATTGTTGCACATTTGTTCTGGCGCTCTCTGGCATGTGGCAGCTCTGCAGTGATATTCTCTCTGTCGCTTTCCTCACCCTCACTTCCAATTGTGTAAATGGGAACAGTAAGGACACAATGCCTTTGTTATCAAATAAGTCGTCTAAAGAAAAAGTGAGTGGGGTTTTGATGACAATGAGAAAGTTAGAGAGTGCTCTCCATCCATTACAGAAAAGAGTATGTCAGTGCAGAACCAGATTGCCTGCACATAGAACTTCTGTCCCCCTCTGAGCCCTGGTTAAGTAAGGTGAGGGTTCATATTGGCCTTCCCACAGTGAGCAGCTTTTAACCTCCTGCCAGCTACATCAATCTCAGGATGGTGTGATTGCTGCTTAAAGGGGCGGGGATTAAGAACAGCCTGTGGTCCGTAAATCAGGCGAGCTTAAGAGGGCCCCTCTTGTGTTCGCCATATAGGCCCAATGGGCACCATACCTATGACTACAATGTAGACAACACCACTTGTGGCAGTAAAGTCCTGAGAGCGGACCTCCCTTTAAGCAGATGGCTGAGCTAGATCTCAATGAAAGTTTAACGAGGTAAAACAAAATAAATTAAATCCTGAGGCAAACGATCAGGGCACACTTTGAATAACATTTAATCCGTCCAAGGCAGTGAACAATGAGAATACATTTTCATGTGGGAATTGTAACCCCCCCCCCCTTCTTCTTCTTCCTCTGAACCAGTCCAACAAAGTCTCACCAACAAAGCCAATTAATACGAAGCCCTTAACTTTTGATTTTAATCTGCTTTGAGCAACATAAATCATCATGTCTGGGAAAGGCTCGAGGCATTTTTAATGTTTGACTTCTAACTCTCAGGCACAAATCTCCTGTCTGAAATAAAGTCAATAGGTCTCATAGTAATTTAGTGGGGTTGATGTATAGCTACCTCAAAGTCTCAAACGATAATTGGCAATGCTTAAGGTTGGTGGGGGCGGGGTCACAAAGGCCCGTTTGAGTAACAGAGAGAGTTAATGTTTTATATTTAAGAGGCTTGGTTGGAAAGTTCAGAGTGCAGCGTCGTCTGAACACAGACAGCCACTGCATGAACGCATTTGACTCTTGTTCCTGGGTCAATCATTCCATCACACCAGCTGATCCAGAGTTGGACTTCAGTGAGTCCTGTTGGATTTGTGAAGCTGGAAGGGAGATAGAAATACAATTTTAAAAAGTGAAAAATCCAAAGTTGGCTTCAAACACTCTTCTGCTGACAGCTTTTAGCATTTAATAGTTGTTGTACAGGTCATGTCTGGGTTGCTGCTGCTTAGTAATACATGCCTCCCTTAGCAACAATTGAACGTCTAAACAACACGGATGCAGTCTTTGCAACTACTGGACTTAACCAGTGTGTAATTCCATGTTTTTTTTAAACAATTCTGTTTTACACAAAGACCAGCAGTGCTCTCTGTGGACCAACAACCTGAGGATTTAACCCTTCTCTAAAATGCTATAATGTTTTTTGCTGTAATTTTCTCATTGTTATTATGTTGTGCTTTAGCTGTTGAGCTAATTACTCCAGCATGGCCTGCTGAGCTGGGTTACAGCCAACACGAGGAAGCTAATTAACTGACACCCCAGAGCATTTACAGAACACTGCTGCAGACACTATAATTCTGTTACATTGCGCTTTTCAGTCCCCCTTATCCCGCACTCTGAACCGATCATGTGCTCATTATAGTCCAGACTCTGGTCTGTTGGCTGGAAAATGATCCAGGGCTCTGTTCTCGGCAGCCTGTCAGTGTGTGAGTGCAGACAGCTTACTCTCTCTGACTGTTAACTATGTGTGCTGTTTATGCCGAACATCCCTCAGGCAGTGTTTCCTGCAATGTAAGATAAATCTGTTCCTGCTTTATTTTGTTAATCGTTTTAGTTATTGTTATCAGAAACGTACAGGCGCAGATCAAAACATCATGATTCAATCCGCTGAATATTATCTGAAATTTGATTGGAATTGCTTGGATTTCGAGCGGGCCCTTACCCTCTCGCAGTAATGCTGAACATCTGCTGTACATTAATAAATCCACAGGCTCCGTCTTTGTTTATTTATTTTCTTGGTTGCAGATAGAACACACCCTTTCGACTACACACTTCCACAGACATCAAACTACAAAACTATTCGCGTCCCTGGGGAAGCAATAGGAAGCTTTAATGAGAATATTTCTTTGTCAAAGCGAAAAATGGAACTAGCAGAATCCCTGTTGATGCAAAGGAATATGCGCGGTGTGCCTGGTTATGCCTGGATGAGCAGAGAGCAGCCGGGGCTCCCAGTCACGGGGGATTTGTTGTGTTTGGGGTTTGCCTTTCTGTCTGTCTGTCTGTCTGTCTGTCTGTGCGTGGGTGGATTCATGGGGCCTTCTCCGTCTGTGCTTCCTTCACAGGTACCGCATCTTTAGTGCGCCAGAGAAATGAACTGAGACTGGGGAGGGACCACTCGTTTCCTGAGGAATTCCAAGATTTACTGTGAAACCATGAGGTTGCAGAGTAGCCTAGGATGTGTCCCTGTCCTGTGCTTGATCACCTGTCTTTGTGCCTTCTACAAGACTGCAGCCATTGACATTCCACTGGAAGGTGAGTGGAGACTTGGTCCACATTTTGTTCCAATGACAGCTGGGGTTAACGTGAATGGACTTCCAAATCAAAAGGCAAAAACCTATTCTCTGAACTGCTTTGACACACTGCCAGTGGTTTCATGTCGTCACGTAAAATGAATGATCAAAAACAATGGGACAGCAAGTCTCAACCATGTATGTTTCTTTAAAACTAGAGGAGAAATGTATAATATGTAAGCGTCTAGGGAGTTTGAACCTCCACTAATGTATTGAAAAGTCTGCCACCACACCGTCATGGTTGTATAGAAACTGGATTTCATGATTTAAGTTAAAAGTGCGCTAGTTTAATTGTTTTTATAACTAACGAGACGTAAAATAAGATAATTAAATGTTTAAAAGGTTTCATTAATGTGAAAAAATGGGTCAATGATAATGTTTTCACTATATTTTACTTCTTTATTAAAATAGGTTGTGATTAATGATGAATTGTGCTCTATTTACATTGCTGTTTGAAGCTTTGAATTAGAATTAGACTAAACAGACACTCAACTTTGATGAAACATCATTAGAAGCTACTTCAGGGCGGTCATTAATGAAGCAAAAATAACAGAGTTACACAAAACCTTAATGTATAGAGTCTTTGAATTGTTAATGCTCACCTACAAGGACCTTGTACTCGGTTAAACTTGAAGTGCCTTTTTATCTGACAGATAGGGTTGAATAATTTAGAAGTGAATAAATCTCACAAGGGGAGAACTGTTACAATCATCAAGCATTCTGTGAATGGAATAAATTTACAGCTATTATCTTGTTTGTATCTGAATTGTTGTTTCTTTTGTCTTGGATCTGCGTGTATCCCAGTTTCCTTGGAAACTCATATCAAACCTCTAAATTATTCAGAAAAAAAGAAAAAATCTCTAAAGGGCTTGATAAAAAAAAAAAAAAAACACTTCAAAGTGGTTTTGTTAAAAGGCAGAAACATGTTGGTCTCCAGATGTCAGAATATCCTTATAATTCCGTTTTCTGTTTTGCATATCTCATGTGTGTTTAAAAGGGTTTACTTTAAGAATGCTTGCGACATGAAGGAATTATTCCCTAACAGCTGACTTTTTTTTTGTTTTGTTTATTTTCCCTCGCTTCCGTGGATTTTGTAGTTTTAGGTCATGTAAACAGTAAGTTCCCTGTGACACACTGTAGCTGGTATTAGTGACATCCTCAGTTCTTTCCTGTTAATCTCTTGGCTCACTGTTGAGCAAAGCAGCAGCTTTACTACAGCCATATGTGTTGGCTCTGAGCCTCATGTGTCATCACTTACCAACGCATGATCATGACATTTCCCATTGTCCTTTACATTTGGTCACTCAGTACCATTAATACTCAGCCTGTTGTGTATGTTTCCATGTACAGCACATTCCACAACTCTGTTATCATTTATCATTTCTATCATCAAGTTATACAAAGTCGAATAAGAGAGTTGTATGCCAAAAATGAAAATGTACTGTAGTAAGTGATCATTTAAATCAAATCATCAAATGTCTAAGTTATCAAAATGAAACTTATTGAAAACATTTATGACAAATAATGTTTTGGGATAGAACTCTCCATACCATCCTAACATCATGGGTCAGTGGTTCTGAATCTGAGTTAACTCTTGAATTATTCCTAGATTGTTATTTAGTAGTCATACGATTATATTGGGGGTTTAAAAGAAAAAAAAACATATTTTAGCCATAATTTTGGCTTTTTTTCTTATGAGATACTGGACCCTTTTACAAATGCAGGCTACTTCAATATCAAACAAACGATCAAACAATACTGGAAATAAAAGTCTGTGTTGTGTTGTAATGCTCACAGGTTTGTTCTTTCAGCCATGTAAAGGGTCACAGTAGACATAGCCGTGCTTGGTCACTGGCCAAACAGGTTGTGAACCACTGACTCGGCATCCCGTTGAGCATTAGATACTTTTGAATGATGAGGCCTTTGTTGATTCTCACATTCTCATGCCTGTTTGTGTGTTTGTTTGTTGCCCAGTTGAGCAGCTGCCCACCATCACAGCCCAGTCGCCGAGCTCTCTCATCGCCTTCCCTTTTGACGAGAGCTTCCCCATGACGTGTGAAGCCAAAGGGAATCCCGAGCCAGAGTGAGTACTGAGCCTCGCATTTCCTCAGATGGAAGGATGAGAGGACTGTTAGCAGCCAGACAGACGCCAGTAACAAACAGCAGCTACGTTCACATCAACACGTTGCAATTGGGTGTACTTGTGTGGACCTTTGGTTTAAAGGAGCATGCTGTAGCCTTAGCTGAAAGATTTCACATTTCACCACTGGCTTCCTTTATGTAGATTCAAATGGACGAAGAATGGCCAGGAATTCGACCCCTCGCTAGACCCCCGGCTGATGAAAGAGGAGAGTTCTGGGACCTTTGTGATACCCAATAATGGAAACCTTACAGAGTACCAGGGAACCTATCGCTGTTACGCCTCAAACAAACTGGGGACGGCCATATCGAAGGAGATTGAGTTCATTGTGCCCCGTGAGTATCATACGTCTGTGAGTTTGTGTATGTGTGTGTGTGTGGTGCTCTGTTACAGTCCTTTCAGACTGATTCAGGACCAGCAGTCCTGTATAATGACTGCACCTCTCCATTGTGAGCTATTCATTGTATTGGACGTGGCAGAAAGTCACTGAGGCTCCTAAGCACCCCCGCCCTTACAGCATTTCATCCGTACCTCTGTATTGAAGAAAGCATCGACTGCATCTGGCCTCTCCATCATTTCATTTGCTTTATTTTTCATTTTGCTCTCAAGCACAAGTACATCAATTCCCAAAGAAAATACTGACTTTATTTGGCAAGGTTTCAACCACTCAGCTCCAATGGCAACAACACAAATAGTTGTAATGTGTGTTTTTTGTTTCTACAGGGCTTGAACTGAAAAAAATAAAATAAAATCAACAGAATCTACTGAATGATCCAGAGCTCAGTCAACACCAACTTGCCACCCATTAATTTCAAGAATAATAATACTGCCATCTTCTGGAGTGGAGGAGAACTGAAGAATATTCATTCATGTATTATATCCGGTTTCATTTAATCACTGTGCGTTCTGTCCTTCTTCTAGATGTTCCAAAGTTTCCTAAAGAGACCCTCGATCCTGTAGAGGTGGAGGAAGGCCAGCCCTTTACTTTAAAATGTGACCCACCTAAAGGGATACCTCCCCTGCAGATCTACTGGATGACTATCAGTAAGTGAAACCAATATTTGAAAAGTGCAATTTTCAAAAACACAGATTTGGGATTTCTTTCAGTTATCAATCTGTTCTTCATATGCTGTATATTGCATTTAGGTCCATGTAGCAAATGTTTCATTTAAATTAAAATAGAGGTTTAGTCTGAACTGTCTTGGTTCAGGAAAAATGTTGATAAAAAAACAGATTGAAATCTGGATGAACTCAGTGTCTTTCTGTGCTCAGGTCTTCAGCATATCGAGCAGGACGAGAGGGTGTCGATGGGCTTAAACGGGGACCTTTACTTCTCTCACGCGGTGGAGAAGGACAGCAGAAAAGACTACTGCTGCTTCGCCGCATTCCCAAGAATAAGAACAATCGTTCAGAAGAACGCCATGTCTGTCATCGTTAAGACAAGTAGGTTTTCACTATATTTGTAATGTTTCTTGATACTCATGTTCATATTTACACGTCAAAAGCCGCCCAGCCGTCATGGTGTCCTCTTTAAGTGCGTCCCCTTGATTTGATGTTGTGATTATGATCTTAAACGTTTGTCATTTTGATTTCACGCCGTCCTCATGTTTCATGCATTTTGTTTTGTCTGATCCACCTCCATTTCAGATAAAAGTGTCATTAGTCCTGAAACTGGTAAGTGTGAATCCTTTAGAGTGAAACACCATTGTGCTGTGCCTCATCCTTAAATAGCTGTGTGCATAAGGCTACAACTGTGATCAAACTGTCTATTCCTCTGCTGTTCCTCCTTAGCTAATGCCATCCCTCAGAGGAGACCTTCTCTTATGTTGCCCTCTGGTGGTGGTAGATCAGAGGTACAGCTCGTCAAAGGCGAGGACTTGAAACTGGAGTGCATTGCTGAGGGAGTGTGAGTAATGCTGCCTATTTATCGTCTTGAGTTTCTGACACATTTTGACACTTTTTTGTCCTAAAGCAAACCATGACAAAAATGTTTTAATGATGTTTATGTAAACAGATTTGCCTTTGAATTTAATGAGTTAACTGCAAATAATAATGTAATATTTAACTCTTTGTTCCAGTCCGACTCCACAGGTTGAGTGGGTGAAGATGGGTTCAAAGCAACTCCCCATCAAAGCAAAACTGGAGAATCATGGGAAATTGCTTACTGTCCAACGCGTTGAACTGGAAGACAGCGGGAAGTACATGTGCAAGGCAAAGAACACACATGGGGAAGCTGTTCATTACTTCACAGTGACAGTGGAGGGTAATTTCAGCATGTTTTGAATTAACTGGGATGTCATTAATGTCTTACAATCATTTTTATAGTTGTCATTTGTAACAGACTGATCCGTTACGGTTTCTTTTTCTGTTAAACGCCTTTATGCTTTTAAGCATAGACTATACAGACAGCAGGATAAGTCACAGCAGTGTTCTTTGAGTCTTAATTTGAAACAGTACAAAGTTTACTTTCAAAAAAATGATACTCCATTGCAGGTGAAAGGAATACTTTGAGACATGCAGTATCTTCATATAGGCTAATGAATACAACAGTGTGAAAAATAATGAAAGAAATAAAACAGTAACAATTTTCACTCAATAAAAAGCACAATCTGACAGATAGTTTTTTTTATTTTATTGTTACTAATATTGAAACAGTAAAACAGCTTTTCATTTAAAGCTGCTGGAGTCGGGGGGGGGGTTGGTTTGAGCTGTCAACAGCATGAACTAGTTTCTGTAGGACAGAAGTTCCTAACCTTCAAGGTAACTTGATATAAACCTAAAGGTTCACAAAATGAACTTCATTTTTCAAAGTCAAAGTATTTAATACATATTTTGCATTCATGACAGAAGCCAACTGTCATGAATGTGTTCAATCAGGATTAGCTTTAATGGCGGGGCAGTTAAAATAGCTTGTAAAGTAATGGATTTTTTAACCCCTTTGAATCCGACCAGGCTTTTAAAGAACACATTTAATAGGGTAAGAGGGTAAATGTCACTCCTCTACAGGGATTTTGGTGAGACATTAACCAGCAGAAATGCCTGCATGCAGCCTGTACAGGAGCCTTCTATTGAATAATGTTTGTAATTACTGTCATTGTTTCAATTCTCTTTAAATCTTTAATGTATTCAGTTTATAGACACTTATCAGTTTGATAAAATAATGACGACTGTGTCTTTCCAGGGCCTCCGGAGTGGGTGTCTGAGCCTGAGAGTCAGCTCCGAATGATTGGCTCAGATGTGCTCATCAAGTGCTCGGCCAGTGGGACTCCTCTGCCGACTGTAATATGGAGGGTGAACGGTGTACCTCTCCAGGGTCAGTGTTAGAACAGCCTTTCATGATACTCTCTCCCTGCTATACTTTTAAAGCCTAGTCCAGATCACTGAGCTATTTTGAGTAAACACAAAGTCTTGGTTTTATTGCGTTCCTTCTATAATATGACATGAAGGGTTTTAAACATGGATGGAGAGGCAGTCGTTTTCAGTTCTCAGCGGATTGTGAAGCTGCTGTAAAATGCACCGAGCTCCTGAGCTGTCAACCAACTCTGATTATCTTTGAGTTGAATTCCATCTTGTGGGGCACCGATGGGGTATCTAATAAAGAGGAAACGGACCATGTCTTATGGTTACACTCAGGGAAAATTGTGAAGGTGCATACAGCATACTTGTACCGTACAGCTGTATGGTAGACGCCCAGATGTTGAAAGCACATCATACATAAGTAGCAGTGGATTCTTTCTCGTTTTGAACACTTTTATACAAACACGCATAGCAGCTGAAGATTAGATATAAAGAATCTAAATTCAGTGTTTGCACCACAAACAGAACATTTCCATTAATTGTGTCTCTGCTCTGTTACAGATGTTCCTGCTGCCAACAGGAAGGTGTTAGACGACACCATAGTTTTACATAACGCCAAAGCGTCTGACAGTGCAGTCTATCAGTGTGAGGTGTCCAATAGACATGGAACCCTTCTGTCAAATGCAAACATCATGATTATGAGTGAGTAGTACAGCTTTTACTTTACACTTTTTTCCAGTTCTACTTTGGTGTTTTCTCAAATCCATAATAACACAATGTCACAGCAATCAAAAGGTTTGTAATAAAAAAAGATGTTTTAGTCTGCCAAGTGAGTCATTTGATGACTGCTAATTGATGTGTCAAGCTTGAGAGCTATCGCTGATGTCTGCATATGCCCACAAAGTGAAGGGGAGCCCAGGGAAGCAGGGCTCTCTGCAAGCTGTATTCCTTTATTCAGACAAGCACATCTGCCTGTGGAGCAACCAGCCCTGTTCCCTGGTATTTATATGCTAACACATTCCTCCTAAATTCCATACTGATTTCAGGGCCACAAGACGAACATGTGCTGCTTTACAAGTGCCGATAAAAATGAAAAGGACGGGATGTTGCTTTCCATTGCTCTGCACAAAAGTGGGTAGATTGATCTCAGTGACACAGGAGTTAATAAAGCTGGATGAGCTCTGAATGCTAAGTCCCAACTGGTCGTGTTGACAATTAGGAGAGACAGACCATTTTTAATGAGAAGCTTTGGTTAACTCCGATAAGGTACAGGCACACAAATAACTCCATTGTTTTCTTCTTTGATTTCATTTTCACGTTGACACATTTGTGACAACCTGACAGCTGAATCCTGTTTTAACAAAAAAAAAAAAAACAAGGAGCCTACAGTTAATGCCCAGAGAAGCCAGCAGTGTTGTTTGCTTCTTGAAGCCACGATTATCTCTTTTGTTGTATTCCTGTTTAAATGGTTCCATAAATGTTAAATTGCAATCTTTCTCAATTTTTGTTTTAACTTCCAACCATCACTGAGCGCACACTACGGCTACATGGTTATATCTGTATAAGGGAGTTTTTTTTTTTTTCTTCTTACAAATGTTGATTCATGATTATGTTCTGTTGCACGGCCTTTACAGATGTGCGCCCAGTGATTTTGACTAAGGAGGGGGAGGATTACTCTGCTGTGGAGGGGAAGGGAGCGATGATGCACTGCAAGGTCTTCAGCTCTCCTCCCTCTTCTATCACTTGGTAAGGGTGCAGGTTGTGTTAGTCTCCCAGACACCAGCAGAGAGCAGTAGACTTCAACTGGTCTATGCATACAGGACAGCTCTATCAAATGTACTTCTTTATGGATGTTCTGCAGTTTCTTTATTACACAATCAAAGTAACCCAAGCACTAAAAAACGTTTTACCACTGTCTTTATAAACTATTTAAATTGCTCTATTCTTCATATTTAAATTGGCCTGAGTGAACAACGTGGTTTTTTTTTTAATGTTTTGCAGGAGTAAAGATGAGTCCTCTGAGTCATTGGAGGGACCAAGGTTTGCTGTTCATGACAATGGGTCCCTGGAGATCCTCAGTGTGGAGAAAGAAGACAATGGGCAATACACATGTGTCGCCAAAAACACAGAGGGGTTGTCGGCCGTAGAAGCCATGCTTTATGTGAAAGGTAAACAGTTGGTTGTAAAAGTTTTTTTCAATGGCTCCCAGTCCTTGAAATATAACTAATATGCTTGTGCCTCTGGAAGATCCCACAAGAATAGTCGTGCCCCCAGTGGACCTGCAGATCTTAATAGGAACCACGGCCCAGCTCTCATGCCTGGCAGAGTACGACAAGTCCTTCAGCAACGACTTTGAGCTCCTGTGGGAAAAAGATGATATGGAGATAGCCCTCAACTACACCGAGAGCTCAAGGTAGGATACTGAGTTGAACAAAAAAAAAAAATTGCATTTCAGAATGAATCCCAGCTGGAAAATCGTTTTACTTTTCAATTGAATAAATCAATAATGTGTCTCCTTCTTTCTGTTAACAGATACTTTGTGGAGGATGGTATTCTCCAGATTATTAATGTAAGCCACATGGACAAGGGCGTGTACACATGTGTGGCAAGAACTCCTGTGGACCAGCAGACAGCCTCAGCGCTCCTCACTGTTCTAGGTAAGACAATATATGAACAGTGTGTGCACAACTGAATGCACGACACCTCCGTAACAGTCAATATGTCAGAGAGCAAAAAGCCAAACGTGGGCATGCAAGTCTGTCAGTAGTTGCAGCCAGTGCAGCGTGTTCCACATCCTTTGGCATTGGTGATTTGACTGTAACTCTACATCTGTTCTCTTGACCTTTTTTTTTTTTTGCCGCACAGCTTTTTTGTGTCAATGATTTCGCGCAGCAACATTGTTGTGATGGTTTTTCAGATGTCCCCGATGCACCTGAGTACTTGGTACTATCTGAACACAAGAGCAAAAGTGTGAAACTGAAATGGATCCCTGGAGACGATCACAACAGCTCAACAACAGGTAAGTGGAGCATCTGTGTGAGCAGCTGTCAGAACATACAGTGCCGCACGTAATGAATCAGGGTTTTCTTGCAGTGAGAATTATTTGTATGACATACATATTCTTTGGCTTCACTGTGCAAGTACATAGATCTGTTTGATACCACCTTGTACAATCTAAATCTATTATTGATTCTTCCAAGCATGAATTATGATTAGTCTCCCTCTCGGTTTACAAGCCAAAAGCAGGGTTTAAGGAGTGTTCTGCACAGCTGGTGGTTAGATAAGCAATCCTTTGGCAAGAGCAATAACAGTGAGGGGCCGCTCTTGATTGTCTTTCTGCCTGTCAACAGAATTTATTATCGAGTACGAAGAAAGCCAGTGGGAGCCAGGTAACTGGAAGGAGCTGCTCCGAGTACCTGGGAACCACAACTCGGCCATCCTCAAACTTCACGGCCATGTCGACTACCGCTTCCGTGTGTCTGGTGTTAATGCTGTGGGGAGGGGTCTTCCAAGCAAGCTCACAGAGAGATACAAAACCCCCGCAGCAGGTCCGAAGATCTTCCTCTGTCATTGTTTGTTGTAGTCTTTTTTTTTTTGACACGGTCCTCCAGGCTACTTGAGCTTCTAACAGTGCTACTGTGTAAACTACAAAGCACCTGCGCAAAAATCTGCCCTCTTGTATGCCTCTTCCACGATTTCCTCCTCTAACAACACCCACAAAATCTATACTCTTTCTTTTCTGCAGCTCCTGACAAGAACCCTGAAAATATCAAAATCGAAGGTCATTTACCACATGAAATGGATATCAACTGGGAGGTAAGAAATTGAATTTGGACCTTTATTATCCCCTCAAAGCAATTCTGCAATGTCGGCTACCTTTACCTTTTGTGAATTATTACAATAGGCAGATGTGGAAGCTCTCAAAGAGTCCAGAGATGACGTTTTTATGAATCTTTCATAGGCAATTACAATTTGGGAATTAAAGAAAAAGGCCATTCATTTCATACGCTGGCTCAGATCTTAAGATTTCATTTTCTGGGATCACTGTGAGTCCCATTGAACTGCTATTTTCCTTTGATTAGAAAGAGAAAGGGGAGCTAAAGAAGGACATTTTTCTTTCAACACATACAGTAATACATTCTGCTTCATTGTAGAAAGATAAATCTCTCCTTCACTTATTAACCGGTCGCCCTGTCATGGCAGCAGAGGTCCTTGAATGCTGGATTCATGAGCTTTCCAAGTGCTAATGATTAGCCTTTGTGAATAATGGCGTCTTGTTCGACTTCCCATGGTCTCACTTCTTTGAGAAGACGTATCTTTTCATCTGTGATGTTTTAGCAAGCTCTATCTCAAAGAAAAGCCGTGCTGCTAGACCAGGTCAATTGTTCCATTGTTTTATTAGACGGTGGAATAAAACACTGCCAGTGAACAACCACAGTTCACTGGGTTTGCTTTTCATTTTTATCCCATAGAGTCAGCGACAAGTGTCTTATGTAACTTTGAGTGTCTCGATGAAACTATTCAAACCCTTGTGGTTTTCTTTCCATTATACAGCCCTTGTTACCCATTGAGCACAATGGTCCTGGTCTGGAGTATAAAGTGAGTTACAGGAGACAGGATGTGGAGGAGGACTGGAAGGAACACATGGGGAAGAGACACTCTTTTGTGGTGAAGAACACTCCAACCTTTGTCCCTTATGAGATCAAGATCCAAGCAAGGAACCACCAGGGCTGGGGCCCTGAACCCAAGATAGTGACTGGCTACTCAGGAGAGGACTGTGAGTAGTGATCTTTTTTTTTTTTTTTTACCTCATGTTGTCATATTTAAAATGTACTTGTTCATCATTTTGTATTTACTAGCGACAGACCAAACAAACTAAGTGAAGAACCCGGCTGAGAATTACCAGCAGGAGATTTGTAGGTATCAAAAACTCAACTCACCTCACTCTGCCAATTGGCTCAGACTGAGTGAAAAGGTGCCTGTGCAGCTTTAGGATATATGTGATTCTGTTTTTTAAGAACAATATTATTTCAATAAAATGTAACTTTGACTGAGTTTTACCACTTTGCACTTCATGCATTGAAAGAGCAGCAAAGCTTTCCAAGAAAAAGCAGTCTGTGAATTAGTTCATTTTATTTCCTGTGTTTAGCTTTCTTCTGGACTTGCCCTCAGGAACTCTCCTCAGGTCATGACTCTTCCCCTAATTGTGTCCTCACTCAAATGTGCTGTCATCAAAGGCAATATTTCCCCTTTGCTTAATTCTCAGTTAGCTGGTGTAACTGTAAGTAGAACCCATTTTTTTAAAATCCCTAGTAGGTGTTCCTGTGAAGAGGTGATCAATAAATGTTGGTAGTTAGCTAGTATGTTACATATCCTGTCTCTTGTTCATTTCTCTTCAGATTTCTCTTTAATAACTAATAACCGGAGTTGTTTTCAAGATATCTTAAACTGAGTTCTCTTCATTCCAATGTTTGCACTTGCAGTTCCATCTGCGGCACCTGAAGATGTAGCTGTGGAGGTGATGAACAGCTCTGTGGTCAAGGTTAGCTGGACGCGTGTACACAAGGACAAGTTGCATGGACATCTGGGCGGCTACAGGGTAATACTTCAAAAAAAGACCTTTGTTTTTAGATGCAGCTTTAAAGGATTGGCCCTGACCTTGCTCTCAACATTTGCCCCCTTAACTCCGCCACGTCTCCTTTACTTGGCCAGCTCATTGTTTCCCTGCGCAGACTTGCAAACACAATTGCTCATCCAGCGTCGTCTGACACATATGCATAAGTGTGATGCGCAATGTAAGCTGTTTTGTCACTGCGTCTCATGGTGTCTCTTCGTCTCTCTTCCCTGGTGAAGGTAAACTGGTGGCGTTTGCGCAGTCTGGTGGACTCAAAGAAAAGCCATGGAGAAAAACAAACACTGACAGTCCCCGGGGACCGCAACCATGCTGCGGTACCGGGACTGATGCCCTTCTCTGAGTACAGCCTCATCGTCATGACCTTCAATGGGCGGGGTAACGGCCCGGGCAGCCATCCCGTCAACTTCAAAACCCCAGAGGGAGGTAAGATTGTGGAAAAACAGCATGGAGTGTATTGATTCACAACAACTGAAAAGAAAATCTAATAATAGAAGAGGAAAGAGGGTTGAAGAAGTGGACAATTGACTGTGTATTACCTTCTTGTCTCCAACAGTCCCTGAGAAAAATCCTGTTTTCAGGGTGACGGATGTACAAAAGCACAGTGTCTCTCTGGACTGGGCGCCGCCAGTGGAGCCTAATGGAATTCTCACCGGGTACCTCCTTGAGTATCAGCTCAGTATGTATCCCTCAAGATTAACGTAACAGACTCAGATAAAATGGTGATGACTCTGTGTTTCCCTTTCCTTTATTTTTTTTTATTCCTAGTCTTTACTTCCCACAGTTCCTTTTTTTTGATCCTCGGTACAATAATTGGGATATAAAAATCCCAAAGTTACAGTTTAGTTACAGCAAGAGGACTTAGTCCTATTAACTTCCTCTTGAGTCTACTCTGTACTGAGATGGTCACCCTCTCCTTGGATTAAGCTCCAAATGTATTTTTATCTTCACAAGCCGGTTTCACTGGAGCCATTTGACATGTGCATCTTTAATTTATAAATTATGAATTAATAAATACATTTCTTTGGTTGATTGTCTGTTGTTATGCATATATGTTATCTTTTAAATCTGAAGAAGCGTTATTGTGCTGATGCCTGCAGGAAATTCTCAAAAAAAAGCTGAATTAGAGTTTTTAATTATTTTTTTATTTTGCATTGTATTGTATTGATACAGACAAGTACGTACAGCTAATGAGTTTATTGGTAGAAGACCAGAGGAGGATCTTTGGCCTGCTTGTGTTTGTCTGACCCATGATCCTCAGAAAGGATAAGAGAATCATTCTGCTGGGCTAATAGGGCTGAGGTGAGAGTGTGTGTATAGGAAACATGTCAGGGTTATGTCTGCTTGCCTATGTGTCACGATCATGGCTTGGCCAGTGCTGACCAAGGCCAATGTGTCACAGTCTGTTAAGGTTCAGTTTTACTGACCCCATCCTGTCTCCAACATAGCTCACAGTGCCATTACTGAACACATCCCACGTATGCAACCACTTTCCTGTCCTTAAACAAAAGTCACAACAAAGCTCATGACTAACTTCTAACAACATCTTAGTGCTGCATTTCCCACTGAATTGAGTTTGAGTTGGCAGCCGCACAAGAAAGCCAAGTGTCACAAAGTATTTCAAGAGAGGACATTTTCATTGTGCCAAAGTAATAAAGCTGATGGACTCTTAAAGTGTGCCTTTTTTTAAAAAAGTCTTTAAGAAGGAAGTCATGTGTGAAATGTGGTGCATAATGTAGCCAGCTGTCAGTGTATCATCAATGACACGAGTGAAATCTGAAGCTGCACAGCAGCTGTTGAAGGTCTACGCTGATATGCAAAGTAGCCTTTAATAGTGCCACACCTCGCAGGCTTTACAGGAAGGCCTATTGTCACATTGTTTTACACACTGGACATGCAGGAATACCAGGATGTTTACTAAGCTGCATTGATGCTTTTCTTTTTCACATTTTCTATGTGAAACATGGATCACATTGTATGAAGTTGTTACCTAACATATCTGTGAGTGAATTAGTATTCTGGACTGTTTATAGATATGGAGGAATACCTATGATAGATTTCAATATGTTAAAGGTATTTCCCTCTGTAGTGATGATACGATGCTGAGTCCTTTGTTTGTTGAGAAAACTAGTGAAACATATGTCACATATGTAGTTTATGTGTGGCTGTAAAGCTGTTCATATATACACTGCAAATGCTTTTAAATATCTCACTGTTTGAGGGATTTCTATCACCATTTTAGAGAAATTACATTTGGAGTAGAGTAATGAGCAGTGTTGGGCAAGTTACTTTAAAAAAGTAATTAGTTACAGTTACTAGTTACTTCTCCCAAAAAGTAACTAAAGTAGTTACTGAGTAACAAATTATAAAAAGTAACTAGTTACTTTGGAAAGTAACTATTGCGTTACTTTCAGGTAAATTTTTAAATGCTCAAATGTGTCAAAGAATTTGGACCCCACCTCCACCCCTCTTTAACAGAACTTAAAATACATGTGCATGTTCAATTATTTATGATAAATCTGAATATTATAATGAAATGGACACTTAATACAATCAATAATTAACAGAAACAGTGTACACAAATCTAAACTATTTTAATGTTGCTGTGGGACAAAGTGAGACTAGCCTCTAATCAAATGTCATGTATTATTGTAGATATTATAATTACTATGTTTATATAGTGGATCCGTAAAAATGACATAATAGATGTTTTGTCTGCTGTGGTAGACAAATATTCAAATTTCTCAAATGTCTGTTTGAGCTCGACATTCATTTGAGCATGTTGGGCGTCTATATAGTTCGCGAACGTCTTTCTACATGGCAGGCCGACCCCTGCTCTGACCGGTATTTTGGCAACTAGTGCTCTGAATGACTCCGACTCAACCATCGATAATGTCAGCATATCCTCCACAACATACCTGGCTACCAGTTTGTTTAGCTCGGCCTGAGACAAAACGTGAGGTGGTGGTGAGGCCGTAAAATCAAGCTTCGGTTGCTTAGGTTTTGTGGCACTGTCTCCTTCTCCTTCGGGGGTCTTCTTGGCCACTAATTTCGTGGAAGCATGTAGCGTTGAAAGATGTTTCAATAAGTTTGAATTGCTCGACACCGACGTGGAGAGGCTTTTGACTCCAGGGCATAATGTGCATTTCATGATTACACTCGTTCCTTTAATTTCTTGGAAGGAAAAGTAATGGCTATACTTCCACTTAAAGAAGGCTACTGTTGGATGATTTGGGCTCGCCATTCCTGTTTCTCGTTGACTCATTTGTGTTGTTGTGTGTCTGACTATGCATGCTTTCGAATTTGTGTAAACAACACCCGCCCAACTCTACCTCTGATTGGCTCACCATGAAATTTTTACTCTACCTCAGCCAATCGTCATCATTTATGCGGTTGTCTCGTGTCCGCACTCACCAAAGAGGAAGAACAGTAAGAAATATCTTTGCCGCTGGGCTTAGAGATCTAGTTGGTCTGATGAAAAACAGCTTCAGTCATAGTAACGCACCGCATTTTTTGGCAGTAACTGTAACGGCGTTATAATGATGGGAAGAGTAATCAATTAGATTACTCGTTACTGAAAAAAGTAACGCCGTTATTCCCATCACTGGTAATGAGCAGCTCTATGAAGTCTGCTCTTGAAATGTCTACACAAGTGACAGTTAAAAGACCTTTGCTTTCATCATTCTCTTTTTCTTCTCATTAGAGTCAGAATCATACTTTCAGGTTAGTCTGGGGTTCAAGTGTTGGCAGGCCTCAGCCTCTTTCACAAAACATAATGCCAACTATATTTCGCTCACCAAGGCTGTAGAAGATTTTGAAATATTGGTGTCTGAAATAAATGGAACAGCCAAAGTCTACAGGCTTCAGCCAGTTTTCCGGTTTAAAGCTTCTGAATAAGTGTGAATGTATCCTTCCAAAGTGTAGAAACATGACGCGAGTGGTCTTTTGTATTTTGCAGCTTTGACACCCTTGCATCATTTTTCCAAAAATGATCCCTTTTGTCCCAAAAGACAAAACAAAACTAAAAGAATATTGCAGTGAGTGATAACCATGTGTTGTGTCCGGGGACAAAGAAAAAAAAAAACAGACAAATACATTCTTGTCATTGTTTCTGTTTTCTCCTACCGGAGTGAGTAGCACCTTTTTCACAGCAAAGGTCACCTGAGCGCCTGCTGTGTTTGTTTTTGTTCCAAAGAACTATAAATGCCACCTCCCTACCTACTGTGCTGCTTTACGTGGTGAAAAATAAGTTCACCATGTAGACTGAGGTGAATTTTCATTTTGAATTTGATGGACACAATCTGTTTGTCTGTTAATGCAAATAGCATTGCAAATTACTATTTGACTCTTTGTCAGGTGGCAAATGACAAAGAGTGTGGGCTATAGGTTGGGGCGGCTGTCGGCTAAAGTCAGTCACCTCTGAACTGGAAGGTTGAGGGTTCGATCCCCAGCTCCTGCAGCTACAGGATTTGTCTTAATAAGATTCCTTTATAATGATGGACACTTTACACAGCAGCCTCTGCCATCAGTGTGTGAATGTGTAGGTGTGACCTGCGGTGTAAAAGTGCTTTGAATTGTCAGTAGACTAGAAAAGTGCTTTACAAGCGTAAGTCAATTTAGTTACCATAAGTTAAATGTGAGTTTTTGGTAAGGAACAAGCACAACTTAATCACGGGTTTATTAGCAGCCTTTCTGCATGATATTTTTTCATACATATCTTATACGTATACACATATCAGTAAAATAAATCGCTGTTGACTGTTATATTAAGCCTTTGTTTCCTTTTTGATTTTTGAAATCTAGTCAATGAAACAGAGGAAGTGGGGCCACTGCAGACGGTAGACATCAGCAAACCGGACACCACCAAGTGGACTCTGCGCGACCTGGAGTCTGTGAGCAAGTACAAGTTTTACCTCCGCTCATGCACCACGGTGGGCTGCGGGCCTGTCGTCAGCGAGGAGGGCACTACCACGCTAGAGACGAGTGAGTAGAGAAACTGGATGTGCTGCATGTGAGCGCTGCGAGAACACCAGACGAGCAATGAGGTGCAGAATTGGCAGGCAAAATTCAGGCTTAGTCAAAATCGTTGACAGAGTCGTTTTACTGTAACGAAATGGATTTGAACTCGTGGACTATGATATATGCCTGGGCAGCCAAGCTTTTCATATCTCCATGTAAGTAATTTTTGTGGATAAACAATTTCATATGGATGTAGTCGAGGTTTTCATTTGTCACTGTCATGAGAGAGCAAGTGCTTATTGATTGGACAGAGAGCCTGAGCCATGAAACAATCACCTAAGAAAGAAAATTGCTTTGAGCAGAAGGGAAACTGGAGCTTTTGCAACTGAATGGTGTAATCATGAAAGAGTTGATGGGTAAGTAATCCTAATGAGCTTGCCTATAGTATGTTATCTTTTCTTTCAATTATACATTCTTCGTTGATGACTACGTGTCATACATCAGCTCACACTCGGCTTCAGACTTCAGGCGATGGTACGAATGATTAGAGGGAAATGAAACAGGAAACCATCCCTGGGACAGCTGAGTGTCAATAAAATAGACTGCAGCAACAGATACTATCAGCATAAATACATCCATGTTGCTTTTTCATACAAATGCACCTCCAATATATATAAAGCATGTCATTCAAGTTCCATCATGAAAAACAAAACAAAAGCACAACAGGTGTTGAACATGCGAGCGATTACTTTGTGTTTATTGGAAGAATTCTAACAATCACAGAAACTTAATTGGCACTTAGGGAGCATTTATGTGTTAGTTGAGCCATCATAATAATTACAGGGAGGTTTTTTTTTCATCCAATTACAATTCTGTGGCGAAATTACACGTGTGTTGGAGTGGGACTGATAAAATTGAACATTGAGGTTATTTAGTTGCAACTCTTCCCCTATGTGTGCATGTGTGAGTATTTATGTTAAGAGTCCTTTGCTGGCTGCTGCTTTCTGTTAAAACCTCACTTCAATGCACTGCTCTGAGCCTTACCTTGGATACCGTGTGGATTGTCAATGTGTATGTACTGTACATGTCTGCTTAGCAATGCTTTGCTTTTTTCTTTCTTTCTTTCTTTTTCCCCCCCAGCTTCCACTTTGGCTTCCACTGTTGGCCTCAGTATGTAGATCTGTCTGTGTGCACACTGTGGAACATCATACCAACACATAATACGTTCTCAAATTGCCCTGAAAACAGTTGATTCATTTGGTAAAAATGAACTGTGCGTTGGTATGACTTGTTTTACAGCGATGTTTATTTGTTTAGGTAGTGGATGGATGCATGCTTTTAGATTTAGAAATGTGGACAGATGTGGAATGCTAGAGGCCTGAATAAAGCATCAGGTTTTGAGACTGAAAGAGTTGGACAATTTTTATTTTGCCAGCGCAGAATTAAGCAGCTCCAAACACGCAGCTTCTCTCCGTAGGTAATTGACCTTGTCTGCTGTTTGCCCTTGCCATCAGTAGAGAGCACTCTGATGCCTCCTTTTATTAGAAAAAATGTCAACTTCTTCTTGAATAAAGTTAGTTGCTTCCTGTAGATAATGATTAATGTAATTATAAATTCATATTAATCTTGGCTCATTTGCGACTGTAAACCAATCTCTAAATGTGTCTTAGCACCTTTAGCTTGAGAGCTAATTGACTAACTCAAGCAGAGGAAATAAATCATGCCAACGAGCCAAACACAGGAAGAACTTCATGCCACACATTAGCTCTTCTTCCTGTTAATGATGTGTCAATAAAAGAAAAACTTTTAAAAGAGAAGATCAAGTCAATATAAAATCACAATACTTCACCATGTGTATAATGTTTTTTTTTTCTTCTAATTTAACACGATGTTTCATTGTAGACATGTAGACCTCCTAATTACTAACTTTAGAGATTAGCTAGAAATAGCGTGCTAACATTAGATTGCAGCACCCCCAGAGCACCATCCCAGATGATAATCAAAAGGTCTGTCTTTCTTTTCAGGCAAGTCAGCTTCCCCCTCACCTCCAAGCACTCCAAAGTCCCCAGTGACCAAATCCACTCGTTCCACCATAGGTAGAGCTGCAGCACATTCTGACACAACCTGCATCAAACCACAGAGACATCCAAACACCAAAATCAATCTGGAATTTATGAAACCAAATAAGTGTGTTTGTTTGGCCAAGGAGGTGAAGTTATGATCCCTGTACTTACTTTTTTTTTTTTCTGTTGCTGCAAGTCAGTTGATAACGAAAACACAAAATACCCCCAGTAAAAAGGATGTTGTTTCCAGGGGAAACAAGGGCAGCAAAGCAAAGTAAACTGCTCCGTTTTATTGTCTGTTATGAGTCAGGTGTATACTGATTAAAAAACTGGTTTTAATTTCTCTGCTTCACCACAGGGAAATCTTGGTTACTAGATCTATATTCTGAGCGGTGTAGCTGTAGAGTGCAGTCACTTGAAGGGGACAAATATGTCTAATTGTCAATGATTGATTTGTTGGGCCCCGGTCCTCCCTGTACACGCCTGTGTATTGACCCAACAGTCACCTGACATTTCCATGTAATCTTCAGCTGGGTAAACAGCAACATCGCTCTGGGACAAGTGGGCAGAATCTGAGCTGTGAGAAAATAGTGTGCAGGAACATCCTCCTGGGCAATGCCTGGTAGGTGTGAGCTCACACTGGGAGGGTGATATTTACCGGACACTGAGATAAGTGGATAAGTGAAAGCTGCTGAGAGCTCCTATATCAGAATATTTTCCCAGCCTCTACTTATAAAGAAGCCTCCTGACTTTGAAGGGGCGTATACCAGGGCATCAGCTCCCTGCTGGGTGAGCAGCTGCTTCCTGCAGCATTTAATAGCAAGTCGAGGAGCACTGTGACAAACACAGCAGCCAGCCCTGGGATATTTTTAGTTTAGGGGCCTGTGTCAGTCAAAGTCATTGTGCAGTTCCAATGACTGGAATTACCATAGATGCAGACTAATCCATCAACATTAGTCAGAGAGTGTCATTTGCAGTGGTTGGGATGGGCAGGGCAGAACAGACGCAGGTGTCCTTGTGTGCTGAATTATCACCTGGGTAAATAATGCTCCTGAGTTGGAGGCACAGCTGAAGATTTGCATGTTTGCCACGGGGAAATGATGTGAATCTGGCTTTGTTGACTAGCTCAGACAGCTGCTATCAAAGCATTCTTTTCCTATACTAATAATGCGCATCATCTACTACATTTTAGATTATTTTCCAGCTCAGTTGGGAAGGTAACATTGTCCTCTTACGGGAGATGAATCATGATATTTGCTCCTGCTTCCAAAGACAGTGACAATGATGAAAAATCAATTTTATCAAAGTATTAATAATTGTATACATCAACCCCACCAGTGTTTTCACTGCTTCATTATTTTCTGACATTTAATTGACTAAATGATCAATGAAAAATACAAATATATTGATTTTAATATAACCTGATGAACTGAAAATATAATAATATATATTTTTCCGTCTTTTTAAGGTACAAACTATAAATTCAATTTAATTAAACATGGTACTCCATTTCTCAATATTGGCTGTGGCCTTATGTAAACAGACCATTTCTACACAGTTGTTGACCAGTATAGGTGTTTGTATGGAAAAGGTTAAATATTCAATCATAAAATATTCAATATTTATCGAATGGTTTGAAAATAGACTTCATTTATTGTAGATGTCTTTAGCACTAGGGATGCACCCTATGTCCCTCTTTTGTCAGGTGAAATTGCTAACTCCTAAGGATAGCTGTTAGGAAACACAGGAGCATACTACTCTTTGCGTAAGGTGAAGAGCAACATCCTTCTTTGTATGATGACAACACTCCTTACACTTCCGCGATGGCTTTGATCTGCTTGTCCTGTACTAACCCTTGTGTGCCATGTTACGCCTTTTTCCTCATCTTGTCTCATTTCGTCCTCAGCCCCTGTCTTATTGAATGTTAGCTCAGCTGTAAAGTGACAGCTTTGCAAATTTCAGCTGGATATCTGGAGGAGAGCACACTGTGTTTTATATTGCATATATGAAAAAGAGTAATCTCGTAAAAGTGTCTTTGTCGTAGAGGGATTTTAATAACAATAAGTTGATGATGAAATTAGATTATTGATTTATATCTCCTATAGATTCAGAGGTTCTTTATTCTCATGATTACTAACCCATCCTAATCATTCAGCCCTGCACAGGCGAGGGTGTCTGGAATATATCAGATGCTTTACACACCTCTAAGACTTTCCATATCATTGAAGGGCTCGAACCTGGTTCTGAGTTTACTGTGCGACTGATTCAGCTGGGTTCATCATTCTAGTATATTTGAGATCTTATCACAACTGGGTCTACATGTGAGGGGGGTAACCAAAAAGAAAAAAAAAAAAGGCAAATCTAATTGGCCTCTCTTTGAACAGAAGGCAGGTGCACCCTGAATGTCCTTGAGCAGTGACTCATGCAGCAGCGTGTGGTCTTCCGCGATGTCATTGTTCAAGCCACGCAGACTCGCTGAGAGGAATTACATTTGTACAGCGTTCCTTTACTTGATTAATTAGACAAGCAGGATTAGCTGTTTAATATTAATTTTGGACCGTATCCATCAGCGGCGTGCCTTGGCACCTTGTGACTTTGCATCCGATAGGCTCTGTCGATGTAAACATTCAGTCTGGTGTCCTGATGAAAAGGCCAAGGCATGTCAAAGTCACCTGGTTTTGTTCTCTTCAGGTCTGGCCAGCATACACGGAGGAATCTCCACCCAGGGCTGGTTCATTGGCCTGATGTGTGCCATTGCTTTCCTCACACTCATTGTTTTGATCGCCTGCTTTGTGAACAGAAATAAAGGAGGAAAATACTCTGGTAGGTGCCTTTTACAAACATATACTAATACTTTTTGAATGATAATTACAAATCTGAGAATTATGTTTTTACATTGGCTTGTTTGTTGCTCTGACATAAATGATCAGTCTAAAAATAAACAAACATATAAGAAATAAATACACTTTTTCTACGCCCTAGACTTATTTAAATGCATCAATAAATAAATAAAATCCTCATGTAGAAACAAAATTGTCATTCTACTGAATGTCCAGCATTTCAATTTAGCCTTATTTAGACATCCTGCTTTTTCCAGCAGCAATCTAAACAAAGTGCAAACCACAGTGAGACAAAATGCAAATGCTGCACATGGGGTGGCTGAGTGAACATGATGACATAAGCTCTGCGGTATTTCAATGTTATTCCTCTTGTTAGGGGCATGAGAGTCCTTCTCGTCTTTATTATTCAAAGTTAATGGCTATCAGGTTGTCGTCTGGGTGATCAGTTCACTTGTCAGCAGAAAAAAAAAAACAGCAAGATGCCGATTTGTCCCTTGGTTACTCATTAAATTCCAATTACAACCTGTCACTCAAATATTTGCCGGAGCAACATGATTTTTTTTCTTTCTTAAACATCCCATATAGAACTACACATTGATGTACATCCTACATAAATAATCAAACAGATGTGTTACAATGTATTTGAACTTGCTTGAAAACCTTTATTTGACACGTTTCAGTCGTTCTAAAGCTTTCACTGACCTTCCATTAAAGAAGAAGTGCACTGAGTCAGGGTCTTAGCCCTGAATGTGTTCAAACAACAAAAACAGTCAGGGTCCAAAGTGAACTTCATCGGCAGCTGTCAGTTGTGGAAATAATCACTGATATCTTCTTTTCATTTTGTGAGCAGTAAAAGAAAAAGAAGACCTTCACCCAGATGTGGAGTCCCAGGGCATGAATGATGACACATTTTGTGAATACAGGTAAGCATAACACTAGGAGCACTATATCACCACCTCGCTGAAACTGACTTACAACAGTGATGAGTTTCTCTTCTGCTGGCAGTAAATTCCATCCTCTTCTCTCAGTAATTCTCTCTGCATTTCTCCTCTCACTGAAAAAAGCCAACCCAGCTCGCATGAGGTTCACGTGGAGCCTTACAATCCTTCTGTTCAAGACATTTGATGGACTGAGTAACTGAAAAGTATGTGGTAAACAACGCTAGCTGTTTACACATCGGTGTTGTTGGAGTGGTAGCATCACTTTATAGAGATTGTTGTCATAGAGGCAGTTTCGTGTTTGGTGGTTGACATTACATCATAAAGGTAGCTGCAGTGCAGTTCAGATATTTGTTTTCTGTTGGAAGGAGTTCAACACAGACGAGCCAGGACACAGCAGGAGGCTAAAACCAATCAGTGCTAATCACCAGGCCAGTCAGATCTGGACATTTTTTATGAACCCTTTATTTGCCCAATTAATAAATGTCAAATGCAATGTTTTCTCAGTGTGGCTATGCATCAGAAGGATTGACACAGCACAGGAAATGCTTATGCTAGCTATACTGCTAGCTACTTTCAAATAATGATAAATTAGACAACAAGTTGTTCGGTTGTAACAGTACATCGCAAGCAAAGTTAAGCCAGTATTGATATTATTTCTTGAGGTGACCTGAATGAAAAGAAAAAAAAAACGAACACTTCTCATGTTCTTCTGATAAACATTAAACAACCTCTAGCAGCCAGTTAGCTTAGCGTAGCAGAGAACACTGAAAACAGGAGGAAACAATGACCCACTAAACTTCCGTAAGTTAGAATGTGATGACCCCCCCCCCCCCTCACACCACCACCACCATCAGTGTTTAGTTGTGTGTCACTTGCTTGAAAGGCATGTTGAGAAAAAGTGCTTTGGGTAGTTGATTGACTATAAATGCACAATGCAAGCGCAGTCTATTTACCATTTGGTCAGCCATTGGTAAATGCTGTTCACAGAGACTCGTTGTAGAGGCAGTGATAGCTTGAGCCCGCACCCACCCCCTCTCCAAATAAGCCATAGAGTGAAGCCATGGGTGAAATGAGGTGATTTTAAACCCACTGTGGCTCTCTTGCAGTGACAACGACGAGAAGCCACTGAAGGGCAGCCAACACTCGCTGAGCAGGGAGATCAAAGCAGGGGACAGCGGGGACAGCCTCGTGGACTACGGCGACGAGGATGTTCAGTTCAACGAGGACGGCTCCTTTATCGGCGAGTATGCGGGGCGAAAGGAGAAGAGAGCATCCACTGAAATCAAAGCCACCATTCAGACCCCGGCATGAGGAGTGGAACAACCATCCATCGCTGCCGCCCCCCCCCCCCCGACACCGTTTTTCATTAAACCTGCTGGGAGGAACAAATAAAAAAGGAAAAATGACAATATCCATACCAAGCACAGGGTTTTCGTGTCAAATGTAATGCGTCATTGTCAACTGCATACTGCCACCCATATTTTATATAGCTCTGTGTTGTCAAGTTGCAACAGAATGACCATTACTAAATACTGTGTATATATAGTGTATATTGTATGTCAAGGTGTCTTTTTTTAATAATTATTATTACAAGTTTGGAGGGCTTGGATTTCCTTTTTTTAATGTCCATGACTTCAGCTGCAGTACACTTTGTACAAATGTTTCTCTGTCAATGCACATCATTAATCGCAGCTTTCCCTCTGATGTTATCTTGTAGCAGACCACCAGTGTTGGGTTACTCAGGAAGTGCAATAGGTCGCTTTTGACTTATTCCTCCATCAGAAAGGAAAACGATCACCTATTCATCACCTTTTATTTAATACTACTATAAAATGGCCAACCTAGTTTTAAAAAAAAAAAATCCCATTTTGGCAAAGCAGCAACAGTCAAACTTGGATTAAACTGTAATATTATTACGTTTTTAAAATGTTAATCCCTCACACGACTCCTTACTGGGGAGATGAATAATATTACACCCAGTAATGTGTTACTGCCCAACACTTGGAAGCACAGATAAGGTGGGATATCAAGTTGATATTTTTCATTTGAAGGATATATTACTGACCTTTTATATTTGAAAAAAAATGTATTAAAGATGATGTCAGATGTGTAAAAGTTGCTTATTAACTTATTTTTCCCGGTTGTTTTATACCTGACTCAATAACAAGGATATTGACATATCGTTACATATCATGAATAGTGATGCTTGAGTCATGAAGTCTCTGTAATGTAAAAAGAAAAATATAATTTAGTTATTTTGTCTTGTTTAGCAAATAGATCTAGTGGGAAGTATGAATTAAAAAACAAACTATTTCATGCTTTTTACGGCCCACCACACATCACTGCTAAAGCCAACCTGGGAGAGAGCTCAAAAATTGTAATCCATTATCCCATTTTGATTAGACGTTTTGAAAAGGATTTATTCATAACTCTTTTTAAGAATTTGTATAAAACCACACGTGCTTTAACAGTTGGGTCCAAATCAAAGAAACTCAGAACAGTTGCCAGTAGCCCGCAGTTCAAACGAAGTGTCTGATAACAAACAAGTGAACAGAGTAGTTTGACATTTTGGTAAACATGTAATATAACTTTTTTGTAAAGGCACAACAACATAATTAGGAACGACGCATGGAAATGCCCAAACACTAAAGTGGAATTTTCTAACAGAATCCTTGCCACACAGCATCTCTAAAAGTCAATGTTCATCATCTCATAGTATTAAGTCTTCATTTAAGCACAAATTCATGGCAAATAAAATGCCAGTTAGAAAATGGGCAGCTGTGTTTTAAGAATTCGTTTTTTTCTACGGAAACAAACAAAGAAGGAATACTTTGTTCATATATGTGCCACAGAGATCTTCTCAGTAACTCCGAACAGATTATAACTAGCCGTCTCCGCTACTGTCGGCTTATCTTTAGGGCAACAACATGAGAGTGGTATTAACCTTGAAAACATGGACACATTTCCCATAACACCAAACTATTCCCCATAAATCATCTTCTTTGTATCGTAAAGAGGCCTGTATGGTAAATGCCAAAGTCTTCAAAAAGTTCAACTCCCTGCCCCAAGTTTATAACTTGTCATCTCAAAAACCAAGGTGACATCAGTATGCCTTCAGTACTTTGCAAAGGTTCAACAGAATCACAGACTATTCTACAACTGTTTGATCTGCAGTCAACAAACTGATTTTCATATTTAGGTTGGTTGAACTCCCTGTTAAGAAGAAAGTGCATTAAACTTGTATTTTTTTTCTTTTTGCAATCAGATCAATGTAATGTGGTTGCATGATATTTGACATCTTTTTTTTACTATGCTGAGATACAATATACTGTAGTCACTGTTTCATCAGTCTTAGCCTTACTTTGTGAGTTTCGATATACTGCCGTTCAACACACAGTCGCTATGTTGTGCAGCATTAATTTTAGGGTCATATTCACAACAGCAATGTTTTGTACAAGTTCAGCCATTGCATGTTAAGAATGTTAATTGATGTTTTTCAATGTTATTAAATTGCTTTACTTTCGTACATCCTGCCTGTTTGGTCCCAGCCATCACAAGTAGAAGATCATTGATTGTATGTTCTTTATACCTACAGCACCTTGAATTGATGCCTTTACCTCCAGTCAGCAGTTACATTATGACTCGAGGGGAAAGCAGTACCTGGTGAAACATCCTCATTCCCTCTGAATAAAAAAGATGTTCGACAAATTGTTCACGTTTGTAGTATGACTTCAACAAATGCCGCGGCAGGGTCAAGTCTCTGTCTGAGTCGAGCGTTTTTGTTTGATTACCTCGCCTTCAGGAGAAAATCATGTGAAATCAGAGGAGTGAGCTCAGACAGGTACTGGATCACTGGAGCGAGGGCTGTAATCATGTCTGATGGTTGATGGTAGGGAGTGAGAAGTGTCACAGTGAGGGTTCTCACATATTCTCCAGATACTCACTCATCACTCAGCCTGGTTTCCCTATAGCTGCAGCGGTTACAGGCTGAAGATCTAACATATACCTTTGATAATGGACCGTCAGGTATCTATAAGAATATTCCTCCCTCTCTTTGCAACAGTGTGAACTGCTCAATGTGTCTCTACACATGCAATCAGGGAACGGGGGAAGCTTCTTAAGGAGCTTAATTCTGCAGAATATGGTAACTGCTTTTACAGAGATACAGAAATACATAGCAGAGAGGACAAAGGTTTTTTGGAAAAGAAACATGACTAAAATAAGATAATTTTTTTTATGATCTTACCAGTATTTGAAATACAGCAAAATGAATATCCTTAAAAATAAGTCTGATTAGAAAGAGTTGTACTCAGTACACAAAGGTCCCATTTTTCTCTTATTTTGTAGTAGATAAAAGTTCCATGAAATCTATAACGGATGTTTTGTGAAGTTGGAATTCACTCTGTTTGGTGTGGTTTACATTTTAGAAAGCTCAGGTTGTGTCCATCAGTGTATTGCTTTACACTGTTAAAGAGCCCATATTCTGCCCTTTTTGGGGTGCGCATATTTAATCTATGTACCTACTTTTGTACGTTCACAATAGCTAAAGTCTGAAAAAAGTGTCTGTTTTCAAGTACTGCTCCTCCTTGCTCCCTCTACACTCTGAGTCCGTCAGCTGCACTCTGTTGAGCCCACACTGTTAGACCCCACGTGGGCCAAGTCTGCTTTGATTGGTCTGCCGATCCGCTCTGTCGTTATTGGTCAGTTGCTCAGTACACGTCTCGGAAATTTCAACATGAGCTGCAGGGTTTGCCACAACGAGCCAATGGACTTAGATCAGTGATCTCACACTGACAATGACGTCGGACTGACAATTTTTTATCGAGGGGGGGCTAGAACCGAGCGTTACATGCGGCTAATGCTGCAGCTAACAGGAGGAGGTAGGAGAAGCTGCGTTTCCGCGGACTTTGAATTTTTGCACATAGATGTTCCTAAACATGCACAGGACACTTGGAAAACACACTAAAGAGCATATAAAACCAGAAAAAGCATAATATAGGACCTTTAATGTTCATCAGTTGTCAGGGAAGAAAACATCACATCACCTTTTCTGCAACGCTAAAGTGAGAGTGAGTTGTTGCTCCAGAATGTTCAAGTGTTCCTTTTACCCCAAGTGTTCTTGTTGTCATTACAATGTTCAACATCAGGAGGTTCCATCAATGGCTCAGGTTTTAATCGGCAGCGAAACACTGCCTTCCTTTTCAGTTGTTTCCTTTCCAGAAGATATCCTGTGGCGCCAATATTGTTGCATAAAGGTTTGCAAATTAATAAAATAGATCCACAAATAAGTCCACAGATCCATAAATGCATTAATAGATCACAAAGGAGTACTCAGATCCATTTATGTGTACACATCTGCAAATATGAGGAGCAACATGCAAATGTGTACATAATTATTAATGGCTGAAATGTCTAAGGGCCTTAGTCTGATGGTCTAAAGTTCATTGTCTAAAACGCAAGGTACAAAAGTACAAAGTGATTTTGTCTAATTTTGGCACATCTGAATACGTTTAGCTAACAATCTGTTTGTGGATTAAGCTGCTTGACTAAATATAAGACGTAACATTTAGCTTTGTGATATAGGGTGTTTCGGGTCGTAAGCTCTGTTTGTAAGCGCTCATTCCCTTTAAGAGCCGATGTGCCTCCAGGCTGCTGTGTTGTTATTTACACGACAGGTTTCTCACTTGGTTTCTTAAATAGGCCGGCTCATTTAACTCCTCACTGAGACACTGTGGAAGGAGGGACACTCACAATTCACGCCTCAGCGTTATACAATTATTACTTTTAGACCAGACTGCGAGAGAACATATCGCAAACAAAGAAGAGAAACGGAAGCTAAGGCTACATTTTTTTTAACTTCATTTTTTATTTAGATAATTCTGGTTTTGAGGGTAATCATTGCATATCATTCATCTGATTTTTTTCGACACGGGTGTATTGAAACAAAACAGCTGTGTGATGTTCAAAACATGACGAAAACATATGTGTGTTTGTTGTCCTTAATGATCATCGCACAGCACTAGCTAATTGTCTCTGTACAATGTTGATCATTGTCCTGAAGATGAATATCTGTCATCTGCTCATCTGTTAATATTAATCAAGCAACAGCTTACAACGTTTGCAACAACATAAGAGAGAGGTTTAAACTACTTGACTGGAATCCATTAAAAAGCATTTACTCTTGATGAGGTGTTTATGTGGAGTATTTTTCTTCTGTTAAGGCTTTTTGAATCCATCATAATCGGACACATTTGGCTTCATGTCATCATAGCTTATATCTTCCTCAGGGCTGACTCTGTCTTTTTCTCGGTTTGACAGCTTCTCCACCCTGGATGAGGCCTTATCATAGGCATATGATGGGGGAAAATTGTCCTCCCACTCCTTTCTAAAAATAAGACATGCCTTTCATTTGTTTAAAAATTCAATATGGATTGAAAATGATGGAAAATAATACCATGTTGAGGAACATTCATATATTAGAGGGTCCATTTCTGGAAGTTAGAACCAACTAATGATCAAGATGAAGCTTTTTGTAGATAAAAGATATGATGGTTTGAACTCTGATTCCCCCTAAAAAAATTAAAGTTTAATTTTTTTAACTACTTACTGCTTACAGAGAAATCGTAGGTAACTCTATGTATAAAATTACACACAATGTTCATGAGGTTCAGTGTTTCAGCTTCCTTAACATCTTGTGTTCTGTCATGAATTACAGGCTATACGAAATGTCCAAAGTAAACAAACAGTGCCTTTCATTACTGAAGTAAAAAACTGAGAGCAATGTCACGTCATGTCAGGCAGGATGAACTTGATTTTCCTCACCAATGCAGGGTTTACGTTTTAGAGATTCAGAGAGACATAAGAAACCATATTCTCAGAAATCTTCTGAAATATAAATGTATGACACAATTAAGCTTGATAAGGTTATAAACACACAAACCCTGGAGATGCCGTGTTCGTATACAAAAGTAGTTACAAAAAATATAATACGAATTTCACAGTTACCTTTTTTTTTATTGAGTGAAATTTAAAGGAAGAATATGCGATTTTCACATTTAAATATAGCAGAAATCAAGTACATCCTCTGAAACTAACTGTGAGTCATGACTGTCTACAATGAGTGAGACAACCGAGTCCCGCTGTCTGTGATGTTTTCAGAGTTGTATCTAGATCGTGTTTACATGGACGGAGCGGCCGGCTCATCACCTCGTGTATAAAAGTTGTTTAATGGAGGGACTAGAGAAAAGAAGAATAACATACTGTACTCACTGCTTATTTTATTTAATGTCACATAAGCGTTTTTAGATCACGGTCATGTCGTGTAAATTTACATGCAGTGTGAGGATACGAGCAAAATAAAGATCGCTAGCATTAGCATGCTAACACAACAATGCAGCGTGAGTTGTTTTGGTTTCATGCTGGTGCTCGAGGGCGACATCTGCTGGATCAAAAAGTTAAATATTCTTCCTTTAAGATAAAATATAATTCGACTTCTCAACAAGTACATCTAGTGAAATCTAATTATCTTTAAAATAAATAAAATCACATTCACACAGAGCAATTTGGGGTTCATATCAGGAGAATCCAGCGTGCTGACTGGATGAGCCTTACCGCTAATCTTCTGATTAGTGGAGGACCCTTTCCCTCTTCTAGTCATTTAAATTCATGCTTCAGTTGTAGCTTTATTTTCTTCAGCTGTAAGCTCTTTTTCTGTCTTATTTGTTAAAAAGATGATTATCTGTGTAATAATACTGCACAGTGGCTGTGAAATAATGAGGCTCTGCTGGTCATACTTCGCCTGCCCTCTCTAATAAATGAATATTCCTCAACACGGTCATATTTTTTTGCAACCTCAATAGCACCACCGTTAATATGTACAGCGAGTGCATACACATGGATCTAAACGCAGCATGGGCACTTGCTTTATACAAAACAGCGGTGTTATTGGGTTTGCATATGTCATGTATTTTTCTGCCTAGGTTTGTACTTTGTACTTTGTACTTCATGTCAGAAGAATTGGAAATAAGACTTTAAACATTGCATGTAAATTACTTCAGTGAGACGATATGAATGCCAAACATTTCCGCTTAACATTTCATTTGTCTTCATTTGTTTTTCTTAAAATAAAAAACTACTATAAACGTGTCCGTACAGCAGCAAAGACTTGATTTTTCTTGTATGATGCTGCTTAAATATTCAGTGTGTCAGATTGGGAAACCTTTTGGCTGAGTCATTGTTGGAAATAGACTGCTCTTTTGTTTAGTGTATACTCACCTGAAGAAAATAATTCTTGTGTATGTTACCTTTTATGGAGTATTTTATATGTAGAGGCAGCTCAGATCTGTCCAGAGAAAAAAAAAAATCGGTTTCTCAGTTTGTGACTGCTGACCTTGTTTGTACAAGCTTATGTACCGGGAGAACGCTGGCTAGGATGACTGAAAGGAGTGTCAGAATCAAACCAACTCACACATAGTGCCATTGTGTTGTGTGCTGTGGGGTCACAAGGGTCACATATTGCATTTGGTT